TCGGGAAAACACGCACAAACCTCCTCCCGCTCGCCCAGAACCAAGGCCTTTATCTCTTTTCTCCCGTGACACGCGCACAAGGAAGATGTTGGCGTGCGACTACACGAACGCGCTGATCGCCATCGTGATGATCATGCCCTTCGTGTATGAATTCAGCCACCGCTTTCGGCTGTACCTGAAGTTCTTCCTGTTCTACGCCAGTGTGATGCTGTGCTCCGTGCTGTGCGTCCCCTTCATCGTGTGGCGGCCCGGCGACGTCAGGAACACCCTGTGAGGCCCTGCTCTTCGCCCCTTTTTGATTTAAATATATGTGATATATATATACTGTCGCTCGCTCGTCACACAGTTTGCCGTTTGCTAGAAATCAGGAAACGGCGGGTCTTTTACGGAGTATTCTGCCTTCATTCACTTGCAAGATCTGCATATCCTTAGGATGGATATGCATCCCCTGTTGTTAATGATAAAGCAATGGCAATAATTGTGTGAGGCGGAGTGGGCAGTCTGCAATTGCATATTATGTTGATTATTGCAAGTCAAGTTGTTAAATCACCATCAACACAATTAGCAAGAGTAGATGCATAGTACTTACACACTTGTCTGCATTGTGTTTCAAAGGGAGAATAAGTAATGACAATTTTGATCTGTTGTGATTAATTACCAATTGTATTTAAGTATTGGCACCCGTTCCAGTAATCCACTGGCCACAACAGATGCTTTATTCACGTCATACCGTACTGTATTAAATTTAATAAGGGTGAATTTAGAAGCTTGACCTTGTCTTTGTCCTCTGTTGTACTCAACACTTGACCAGAATGCTGATATCTGAATTTAAAAGGAATTACATTTAGTATGTTATACAGAGTAAATAATTAAAATCAAACAAGATGTAATATAGTAATAGGGAAAGAAATATGATATATGAGAGAAATGAAAGTGAACAGATACATAGCAGATAGATATGCAAATCGAAGTGGGAGAATGTAGAAATTAGAAGATTTGTTATAGCAGTCTGAAGAACAAATCCAGTGAATTAGTTGTTAGTTGTTTCCTCAATTAACAGGCAACCGGAGACCATATATGTTATATTATTTGAATTTTTTACAACTTCTACTGCTGCTCATCATAGTGTGAGGCAAGCAGAACACACATTTTTTTATGCATTTGACTTTTTTTTTTTTCTTGACTCATCAAATTTGTTGTTAGTGGACTCTTATTGTTGTCTGCCTATAAAATATGGCAGTATTATTTAGCAAATCAGTGATCAAGCACAGTTTTAATAGGATAGACTCCCATAATTTGTTCATCAACTTAGAGAGGGTGAATTGTTAAAGGAAATTTGTTTATCACACCCAAGCTGAGTTGTGATGTCACTCATGCAGGTTAATCATTCAAACCTTTCGGGGCTCTATCTTAGCACTGACTTGTGCTAGAGATTTTGGATTCCTGGTAAGGAGTCTTAGGAGTGTGGTCCATAAAAGCTCAAAAAAGGTGCCTAACTTAACCACACAGTTTTCCCAGGATGCCTCAGGCCTACCCCATCTGTCAGGTTTAGTATCATAGCTAGCGTTACCTTGTGCTGACTAAACCTATCTTAACCCAATGGTGACGGGTGAAAAAAAAACAAAAAAACTCTACGCTCTGGCAAACCATGGCAGCGCGCTGACTTTGAGCATGTGAGTTCGGTACATCATGCCGAATCACCAGCTCGCCGCGCTTTGGCGCGCTGCCACGGTATACAGCCGCACGCCACTTTTCGAGCGGTTTGTTTTCTCGCCCATCAGCGTCACCCGTTGTGAAGGGGTTAAATGCATACTTGGCATCATAAGGAAGTTATTGATACCAAATTTGAGGACTTTCAAGATGTAGACTTGTTACAGAAAATAATCCCAGATTCTTTGGATGAATATCATTCAGTTGTGAGGTTTTGAGGACTGTAAAGTTTAAGACAATATAAGTACACAAGGTAAATGCTTAGAAACACATCTAGTGATATTGAAAATGTTTTTTTTTTTTTTTTTCTCATTAAGATATTGGCACTATTCTTTCCTAATCTTGAAGTTTCCTGTTATCTCTAATGGAAAGCCAAAGGTCTTAAGTCCAACCTGATAGTGACATACTGTCAATCATCAAATCAAATGCATATTATGTGACGGAGCTTGATTTGAAATATACTTGCATTGGAAATGATGACCCCTGTAATATTGACAGGACTATTTTGGGGATAAAAAAATTTTGATAATCTGGTCTCAGATTTAATTTATGTAAGATTTGGTCTTTGTTCAGAGGATAACCAAGAGCTATCCTCTACTCAAACATGTGTCAAACCCTAATAGACTGCATACAATCTGAGTCCAGCATGATAAAGTCAGACAAATTCCAAGAGCCATTTTGATCCACTATGTAAATTCTAGCTGTATAGATCTTGAACAGGTTCCTTATTTAATGAGAAATTACCAACTGTCAGTGGGAAAATGTTTTCATTGTAGTTTTGTTTTGTGAAATGTCTCTGTACATAGATGGCTCTGCTAGTGCTTAGCCACAAAGGAGGCAATTAGTAGATCTTGTGACCTTCCCTGATTTTCATAAATCAAAGAAAAGGATAAACGGGCGAGATAGGCAGTACTTATAACAGGCTCATTGGTGACTTTGTACAAAGTTTTTTTTTTTTTTTTTTTTTTTTTTTTTTTTTTTTTTTTTTTTTTTTTTTTTTTTTTTTTTTTTTTTTTTTTTTTTTTTTTTTTTTTTTTTTTTTTTTTTTTTTTTTTTTTTTTTTTTTTTTTTTTTTTTTTTTTTTTTTTTTTTTTTTTTTTTTTTTTTTTTTTTTTTTTTTTTTTTTTTTTTTTTTTTTTTTTTTTTTTTTTTTTTTTTTTTTTTTTTTTTTTTTTTTTTTTTTTTTTTTTTTTTTTTTTTTTTTTTTTTTTTTTTTTTTTTTTTTTTTTTTTTTTTTTTTTTTTTTTTTTTTTTTTTTTTTTTTTTTTTTTTTTTTTTTTTTTTTTTTTTTTTTTTTTTTTTTTTTTTTTTTTTTTTTTTTTTTTTTTTTTTTTTTTTTTTTTTTTTTTTTTTTTTTTTTTTTTTTTTTTTTTTTTTTTTTTTTTTTTTTTTTTTTTTTTTTTTTTTTTTTTTTTTTTTTTTTTTTTTTTTTTTTTTTTTTTTTTTTTTTTTTTTTTTTTTTTTTTTTTTTTTTTTTTTTTTTTTTTTTTTTTTTTTTTTTTTTTTTTTTTTTTTTTTTTTTTTTTTTTTTTTTTTTTTTTTATTTATTTTTTTTGTGAAATGTCTCTGTACATAGATGGCTCTGCTAGTGCTTAGCCACAAAGGAGTCAATTAGTAGATCTTGTGACCTTCCTTGATTTCACCTTTCCTTGAATTAGTAGGAAAACCTTTTTTTTTTACTAGTGCTATGAATACCGATGGTGTTATTTTTATTATAAACATTATAATTACTATAATGTTATAAACATTGGTAACAGCAAAATGAGATAATGTAAAATATTTTCATAAATCAAAGAAAAGAGTAAACAGGCGAGACAGGCAGTACTGGTAATTGGCTCATTGGTGACTTAGTACAAGTGTAGCCATCTGTGTATAAAAACAATTAAACAAGTAAACTCACAGTGGGCATGGCATGGATGTACGTGCCATGCCCATTGGCAATGGGTTAAGATTGATAGAGTGAGAGTGAAAGTGTGAGAGTGAAAGTGGAAGTGTACGTGATTGAGTGAGTGTGTGCGCATGCATATGCGTGAGTGCATGTGCGTGTGTGTGTGTGTCTGAGTTTGATGATTTTGAATTATAGTTAATCACAATTAGATTAGATATATGCCTAATAAAAAGTCAATGTCTACAGCAAGACCTTGAATTGCATATTACCCTTGATCTGCAACTTTTTTGTGACTAAAAGTGATGCAAGATAGGGAGATTTAAGTGGGAAGGTGATAAGATGAAGAAGAACCATTATCTTATTAATAGAAGCAGATAAATATTATGTCATAGATTGAGTTAATTACAAAGATTGTTGTATCAAGTCTGAAATTTTCCAGAGATTTGAAGGACTGGGACGAGCAGTAATTATGATAAAGCCCAAATGACCAATTTCCTTTATTTTTTCTCATTAATCTAAGTAGTGTGTGTCACAGCTCAGGGTATAGTGGCTCTCATCTTCTTTTCCTTCACTGGATGAATGGTTGAATGTTAATCTCTGTGCTTGGGATGATGTTAATAATAATAATGATGATGATGATGATGATAGTAAAAATATTGATAACAGTGATAAAAATATAAGTAAACTATAATTATTTGGGATTATTGGGCACCACCAAATGGGATCAAAAAGGGTACTTTGCATAATCCACAGTTTAAAGATTATTATAAGGTGTCCCCCCTATGCTGTGCTTCTGTGTCCTCCTCTGTCCTTGTAGTAGATTTCTTTACTTATAATGCTATATGTTGTTTTTATGATTTTGGAAAGTTTGTAAAATGTGAAGTGGTAATTACATGCAAATAAGCTAATATTGATGCCAAGCAAATATACCTTAGCAAAATGAAGGACACCTAAATAAGTGAATCATGTATGTTTTTATTTTCAGAATTGCATTATACAAAATGAAAGCTGTTGGTATCAGAACTTCCATTGTTATTTATTATTCTTATTGTATTGGCTACAGATGTAGAAGCCATATTATCCTGCTTGTGTTTTTTTCTGTTTGTTTGTATGTTACACCTGAAATCAAATTTCATGTGACTTCATTTTGATGTAAAATGGGGTGATAATTGAAAACATAAATTTTTAAAAATCGCCCAAACACTTACCTACCTACCTATCTACCTACGTACCTATATATCTATCTATCTACCTACCACCTACCTCCTACCTACCTCCTACCTACCTCCTACCTACCTACCTCCTACCTACCTACCTACCTACCTACCTACCTACCTCCTACCTACCTACCTACCTACCTACCTACCTACCTACCTACCTATCTATCTATCTATCCATCTATCTATCTACTTACCTACCTACCACCTACCCTCCTGCCTACCTACCTCCTACCTTCCTACCTACCTTCCTACCTACCTATCTACCTCCTACCTACCTACCTACCTACCTACCTACCTACCTACCTACCTACGTACCTACCTACCTACCTCTTACCTACCTCCTACCTATCTATCTACCTACCTACCTACCTCCTACCTTCCTACCTACCTATCTACCTCCCTCCTACCTACCTCCTACTTACCTATCTATCTATCTACTTACCTACCTACCTATCTACCTACCTCCTACCTTCCTACCTACCTATCTACCTCCCTCCTACCTACCTCCTACCTACCTATCTACCTACCTACCTATCTACCTACCTACCTACCTACCTACCTACCTACCTACCTCCTACTTGCCTACCTACCTACCTCCTACTTGCCTACCTACCTACCTACCTACTTACCTACCTACTTACCTACCTACCTACCTACCTACCTACTTACCTACCTACTTACTTACCTACCTACCTACCAACCTATCTACCTACCTACCTATCTACCTCCCTCATATCTATCTACCTCCCTCCTACTTATCTATCTACTTACCTATCTACCTACCTACCTACCTATCTCCTACCTACCTACCTACCTATCTCCTACCTACCTACCTACCTACCTACCTACCTACCTACCTATCTCCTACCTACCTCCTACCTAACTACCTACCTCCCTCCCTCCCTCCTACCTATCTACCTCCCTCTTACCTACCTGGAGTTTAGGAATATTTGGGTGTGTGAAAAGGTGGCAGAGTGGGGAAGAGAAAGGGAAAGGGAGAGAGAGGAAAGGGAATAGAGGAAGTAGGAGGTGGAAGAGGATGAAAGAAAGAGACAAGTGGGAAGAAATACCTCTTTCTTTGTTTTTATTTTAGTATTTATTTATTTATTTTATTTTTATTTATTTATTTTTTTCATGGAATTTTCATGGGTCCCACTAGTTTAACATTATTTCAGAGTGTATGGGAAGAAAAGATGAATCTACAAAAGCCAGAAGCATAGGGTTATATTGGACTGTGATATTTGAACAAATTGTATGAAGAACCATCATACTTTTGTGATAATTTTAGGTAATGTATACATATCCTGTGTAATGTATATCTCCAAAGCAGAAGTAGACTAGAGTTATTGTGGTCGATCAAGGTATGGATAGTTATATGTCTTTCCTCCTTTTTCAGGATAGCAACACTTCCCCTTCAGTTGTTGAATCCACTGCTCGGTTTACACTGGGAGGTGAAAGGACAAGAGCACATCACGGTGGATCGCGCTGCCATTGTCGTGGCCAATCATCAGAGCTCCCTGGACTTTTTAGGTTAGTTGACGTTTCAGAATCTTTACCTATGTACTGAGGGGGGAGGGGGGGGGCTACAAATGCAGAAATATAAGGTAAAGACTATGTTAATATTATGAATTTCTTAGTTATTTTGACACTTGGAACTCATTGTGATTTTAACTGTGATAATCAGAGAGATTTTCATGAAGCCATATGAACTGAATACATGTCTAATTTAAAGCAAAGTTTTTTTTTTATTTTTGGCAAAGTTAATGTTAACATCTTCTCGTCCTTTCAAGGCATGGTGTACATGTGGCCGATGTTTGAGAAGATCACAGCTATTGCTAAGAAGGAGCTGTTCTATGCCATGCCATTTGGTATGACAGCCTGGCTCTGTGGTACTCGGTTCATTGACCGCAGGAACCCAGAGAGGGCAAAGATGTCGATGAACAAAGCCCTTGAATATGTTACAGAAGAGAAGGTAAGGTTCTTGGATCTCTGATTTGGGTTTAATGTTTTGGGTTTTTGAGTTGATGGCAACTGAGTATTATTTATTGATAATTTGTTTTTGTATATTTATTTTTTGATTAGATTATTTGTTGTAACATACTTTTAGCTTCTGTAGCACTGTTGTAATTGTTGTCACATTTAACCTATGGGATGTGAGACAGGGCAGTGTAATGTTTTTTTCTCTTACTTTCTTTTCATTCTCTTTTTTTTTTCCTCCATCTGCTATCAGATAATACCCAATTTTTTCTATGTATGTGTCTCTTTTTATTGTATGCACCACAGGTAGAAGTTGCTTCTCATAATTTTTTGTTATTTTTTATAGTAGTTATTACTGCATGTATGACAGATGCACAAGGCAGCACAGGCAATATAGTACTGACCAAGCTAGAAAAATGCTAATTGTTATATCAAATGTAAGCTTTCACGTGGAGATGTAAGGTACACAGTGCATATATAGATATGCATCAATATTCTTTACATATGTGCTTCAGCATTAATGATGTGCCGTCTGATTTTGACTGTTTTGAGTCATATGAGGATCTGACTCTGTTATTTAGTACTTTTCCATTTGTAGATGAAGTGAGAATGAACATCTTCACTGCATAAGATATGTAATTTATTCTCTGTCTTCCCTTTTACTTTTCTTGTTATAATGAACAAACAAATTATAGATTGATATGAAATTATTACTCAAATAAAATAGTTACTTGTTTGATGAAAATATCCAGGAAAATAAGAACATGAAGTGATATTCTTAGACAAAAATCCAGGTAACCCATTGGTAACAGGTGATGCGCTTTCACATAATGGTGAATAATCAGTGACACTGGGTAACACCTTTACATCCATGAATCCATTCCCTTGATCACTGGGATGAGCTCTCCCATGCCAGTCGTGAGCCACACAATCACCCAGGTAGAGACTAGCGTGCAATAATGTAATCCCATCCTTGTCAAACTATACTCAAAGGTTTCCCATTGTTATTGGGTCAATTCATGTACCTTACGCAAAGTATGGCAGCAGCATGGATGGGATGATGGTCAAAAAGTCAAAATTCAAATGGTGCATGTGAGGATAGACTTTTATCTGAAATTCATGATCCAACTTTCCCCGAGCTGAACACTAGGTCTGTATGAGACTGCTTTGTGTTGCAATAGGTCTTATATTAGGCCGTCTTAGATACTTATAAAAGATTTCTCATGGACTTCACTGCTGCTGTTATGCAAGTGTCATGTCATTATACTTTGTGCAATTGATTTTTCATTTTATTTTAATAGCTTCATTTGTACCAGGTCAAGTTATGGGTCTTTCCTGAGGGTACAAGGAGCATGGCAGATGAGATGCTGCCATTCAAAAAGGGCGCATTCCACCTTGCCATCGAGGGGCAGCTGCCTGTCCTTCCTGTTGTTTATTCATCCTACAGAGGTTTTCTCAATCATCCGTTCAAGATTTTCAACCCAGGTAAGTCTCAAGGTTTTTTTTTTTTTTTTTCTAATTGTCTATCTATCTATATACACGCACACGCACATGCACACGCACACGCACACGCACACACACACGCACACACACACACATACACACACACACGGTGAGAAATGACTGAGCACCAAATATCTGTAATGGGGGCAGAGAAATCAGCATCTAAAGATTTTCCCCATTCTGCCCTGACCGCAACCCCCCAAACAGTAAAACATTAATAACTTTTGTTCTGGTTGTTCTATTGGGTCCAATGATAGCTCATTTTAAAGCTCTTTTCAAGCTCTGTTCAAATATGATAAGTTCTTCAACATATCCGACAAACAAAAATACCAGTCTTGAAAAACCATCTTCATTTTCATTGGCTTCCTGTGAATCAGTACCTCTCCCCCCTGAGGTAAGTTTTATATCAAAAGCTTCCTTTATGTATAGATAACCATGACACAAATTTATAGAGTGGGCCCTCTATGGATGACTGAGTTATGGGCTTTGGAAAAAACGTAACTCCATAAAATGTCGACAATAAAGGAAAATATTAGAAATTTCTCCAATATCTCTCATAAAATGTAAACTTGACAAAGATTCTTTCAGAAAGCTTTACAATTTTCTTACTGCTTGTCCTGTTGTGTTTTTAAAGTAATTTTCAAAGTCCCTCAAATTTATGGTTTTCATTGGCTTTTGGCTTTTTTTAAGTTCATGTATCATTGTTTAAAACTTGCCTTATTTCTTTCATTGACCAAAGGTCCTGGTGGAACTCTGTTTGAAAAGATGATTGTTATTTTTAGCACTTCGTTTTAATGCAAAATATAAAGCAAGTGAAATAGAAGGCTATGTTCATATCACTCCATTTTCATTTTGATCTGTTTTTGTTCTCATTAATGGAGCTGTTTTTCCTCCCTGTTCAAACTAAGCCATTTTCAATCAAAAACAGATATCTCGCATTTGATGTTCACACTCATTCTCAAAAATGGATCTGATTGTCTATTTGAATGTTCTTAGTGTTTTGAAATTCCACCGTGTTCACACTGCAAAGATACGTTCTTGTTTCTTTTTATCATCATTCTCATTTAGCTCCGTTTTTGAGGTAGTGTAATGTGAACGCAAAACTAAAGAGGGAGCTAAATATATCCGCTTTTATTAAAAAATGCATTAGTGTGAACAGGGTCGAAATCTGATTGCCCTATATTTACTTCGAATGTTGATATTGTATACTTTGAAGTGTTCCCTGCTTGGTATTCTCAGGAAGATAACATGATTATCCTTAAGTTTAAAAATAAGATCCAAGGAAGTAAAGAGTGAAAAGAGGTGTTAAAGGAACCCATGTTGTATTCAATGACTACTTAATTCCTTCAAAGGAAGCAGTTGACGAATGAATGAAATACAGAAAGGACATTTAAGTGAACTCTTTGGTTAGGAGGTGAGTTGAGATTTGCCAAGTTGTATTCATTGATGGAGAACTAAAGCTGAATGTAAGTTGTGACCTGACAGACGAGTCCGATTTATATGTACTTGAATCTTTGAAAGAGATACTAGAATGGGAAAAGGTAAATGGATATGTTATGTGTGAGTATGATGTCAAATGGTGGCTTGAATATGTTCTTGAGCAATTTCAAGCAACAAGAGAAATAAAAGTAAAATTTCTGCATCCATCAGGACCAGCTACCTCTTTCTCGTTTCCAGACGTTGACTTTTATACTGTTGTAGC